GTGGAGTATGACAGGATACTTCTGATAAATAAATGGCAGATCATCTAGTGAGTGTGAAATGCAGCTGTTTCTAGGAGAATGAAAATGAGGCTATATTCTCCAAGTTCACTCACGAATAACCAAGCAAGTTCAAGGCTAAAATGAAGACAATAGAGAACTTAGTTCTATACGAAATGAAGCTGTATTATAGCTGTTGTCTCGGTTTACATTAAAATCCGGATGGTTCAAGACATCATGTTCACCTCTTGGCCAAGTAAACCCGACATATATTAAAACAAGTGGTTCAAAGCTGAAATATGCTACATACTCAAACACAGTGAATTTTGCTTAAAACTCAAAAAGTCTGTCTGTCTAGTCAGAGTAGTAGTCTAGTCAGTAGAGTCCTGTAGAGTATGTCGAGTCTTCATATGTTTAGAGTCATTTCTATTCATGTGAGGGATTACTGGATCCAATTCTTGAAAACCATTGGGGTTTGGTAAAAATTGGCAAGAATAAAAAGAAATGGGGTCGGGCCCAAATAAATTCAGAGGTAAATAATGTGGTTTTGTCCCACATTGGAAATGTCTGGAAAAACTCTCCACTATATAAGGAGAAGGAGATTAGCCATGTTTAAAATGGTTAACACCCTTGGTGTGCATGGGAGAGGTCGGACCGCACCGCTGCCAAGCCAGGCCAGGCACGGGCGTGGGTCATGTTGGTTGCGTTAGTCGAATGGACCTTCAGATCGAAGGTGACTATTCTTTTTGGACCAAATTTTGATTTCTGTTTTCGGGCTCAATACTTAAATCAAATTAAACATTTTCGAACCCAGGAAGAATATTATGTGGTTTAAACGTTGGAAACTTTTTTCTCAATAAGAAAAAAGATTTTCCTTGATTTCCACCCACTTCTCCACTTCTCCTCTTCGCGTAACGAGCACATGTACCACATTCTGCAGAGATTAGCGGATCGTCAACCGCTCTTCTCCGGCTTTAAAAAAAAACTGTGACTCTCATTATTCAATACTTCTTACACAGAAAAACTCACTCTTAAAAACTACTTCCATCAAATCATCTTCTTTAACTGTAAGTCTCGAGAGTTTATCGTAGAATTTAAAGTTCGCAGATTCCGTTTAGAGTGTTGCAAAACGGTCTCCTATCGGTTGTATTTTGGGATTCAAAAATTGTGTATTACCGTCACACTTGAATTATGGAAAAGATCATCCTGCTTCCATTATTTGGTTTTAGCGAAAGCGGTTTTTTTTACAAAGATCTCGTTGTAATACGTATTCTTTACCATCGTTTATTTGCTATTATTGTTTCTAATTGATTTATTGATCGTATTTTTTATTCTATTTTTTTTTTGCGGTTCCTACAATCAAGTCAATCTAAAAAGCTGCAACCGTTTGATTACCTGCAATAATCAATCACGATTATACAACAAACGATTGAAACGTTTATTAAGAACTAAATGAGAATCATCAATACAACAATAACACACAAATCTCTCCATAAGATGACACATCAGCTTTTTAAAGCTTTTTAAAGTTGACATATCAGCAAAAAAATCTCCAATTAAAATATTTTATTAATACACATCATTTACTAACTTTTATTATTTTTAAATTAAATCCATTAAAAACCCAAATATTTTTCTTTGTTAATTTTGGTTTTATTTTTTACCAAACTCAAGCCCAAATAACAAATAACAGCAAATAAAAATAATTTGTCTTTTATTTTTTATCATCCCAAAATCTAAATAATAAATAACAACAAAATAATTAAATATTTATTTTATATTTTTGCCAAACCAAAACTCAAATAATAAATGATAACAAAAAAAAATTAAAATTTTAACTATGTGTTTTCTTGATAGAGACATATATGACTGATAAAAATATTTTTGATTTTGACGCGAAAACAAAATACATTAGTTTTGATAAGAAATTACGAGGGAAATACAACTTTTCAATTTTGACGAAAATTACAATTTATCAGTTTTGATAGGAAATGCAAATTTTCAGCTTTTGATGGATAATGTGATTTTTTTATTTTCACGAGAAATTGTAATTTGACAATTGTGGCGGAAAATGCAATTTCTCTGTTTGATGGAAAAACAAAATTTCTTGATTTTTGCGAGAATAAACAATTTCTCGGTTTTGATGGGAAAAGTAAATTTTCAGTTTTTTTGACATATAATATGATTTTTTGGTTTTCGCAGGAAAATGGGATTTTTTAGTTTCAGAGGAAACGTAATTTCTTAGGAGATAATGCAATTTTTGGTTTTCGCGAGAAATTGTGGTTTATCAGTTTTTATAGGAAGGCGTGATTCTTGGTTTGATGAGAAAAATAATTTTATTGTTTTGGCAGAAATAGACGATTTCTCGATTTTTGCAGGAAATTTTTTTTTCGGTTTTGACAGGAAAATATTATTTTTGGTTTTTGCACGATGATGAATTTTTTTGGTTTTAGTGAAAAAACTTGATTTCTCTGTTTTGGTGTGAAAAAACAGGTTCTCGCGGAAAAATGTGATTTTTTGGTTTTTGGAAGAAAATGCAATTTCTTTGTTTTGATAGGAAAATAAATTTCAGGCTTGACGAGAAAATATTTTTTTTTGGTTTTGGCGGGAATAGGCGATTTCTTAGTTTCGTGGGAAAATGATTTTTTTTTGTTTTGACAAAAAATGCAAATTCTCGGTTTTTGTAAAAAGATAAAATTTTTCTGTGCTAAATTTTCAAGTTAGAATATGTTTAGAGTAACCAAATTTGAATTATTTAACTTCAGCTAAATTAATATTTCAACAGTTCAAACCGAACTTTCTTTTTAGTTCTAAAGCAATAGCAATGATTTTGATATGAATATTATTGATTATAGTTTGGTAATTTTAGAAACATATGTTTATAATAAATATTTGATAAATAAATAAATTTTATAATTCAAAACAATCATATTATTTAATAATTATTTTTCTTAAAATACAATTTGCTTTATATAATTTCAAAAAAGGATTAAGTGACAATTTCGTAGAGAAAATAAATTATATTTTCAATCTAATTGAGAGAATACCATAGATATTTATATACATTTATAGATAGTTAACTAAACAATTTTGATTGTAGATTATAATTTTGAAAAATAAAATAATTAAGGATATATAATTTTTATTCAGATTTAAAATATATAAATACATAACTTAAGCTAACAAAAATAAAATATAATACTCATTTATATTATAAAATTAATTTTATTATATTAAATATATATATATATATATATATATATGTATATAATCTATAAAAATGAATAGGAAAATGAAGATTTTGGGTTTTGACGGAAAATGTGATTTTTTGGTTTTTGTAAGAAGCTAAAATTTCTTTGTGCTAAATTTCCAAGTTAAAGTATGTTTACAGTAATCAAAATTTAATTATTTAACTTCAACTAAAACAATATTTGAATAGTTCAAACATAATTTTCTATTTTGTTCTAAAGCAATATAACAATGGTTTGATATGAATGTTATTGATTACAGTTTGGTAGTTTTAGAAACATATGTTTATAATGGATATTTGATAAATAAATAAAATTTATAATTCAAGATAGTCATATTAATTAATAAATCTTTTTTAACTGGCATTTTGCTTTATATAATTACAAAAGATGATCAATTGGCAATTTATTGGAGAAAATAGATTACATTTGTCATTAGTATGAAAGTATTAAAATGTATTGCTTTATTCTTATATATGCATTTTTAATTAGTTAGCTAAATAAATTTAATTGCAAATTATAATTTTGAAAAAAAATATACAATATTTATTCTGATTTAAAACATATAAATACATAACTTAAGCTAAAAAAAATAAATATAATACTCATTTACATTATAAAAATAATTTTATTATATTAAAAATATATATATAATTTAGAAAACTATTCTGCAGCGTAGCGCGGATAAATACTTAGTTCATACAATAAAAAACAATAAAAGCAAATTATGGCTAAAATCTGTAATCTTTAGTTAGCTAAAATCTGAATCTTTATGAAATTCTATCCAACTATTCTAACAAAACAAAATATCATTATATCAAAACGTTTTGGCTTGTAAAATTTGATGTGGATAATTTTAAAATGGTGTGATAATGAGATAATTTGTATAGAAAGTTGATTGAAGAAGACATAAATGTCAATAATTATCTAGAGTTTTAAGAAATGAAAATAAGTTATCAAGTTGTACAAGAAAATTAACATTTTTCTATGTTATTTTTACATTCAAATCATATACATTTAATTTAATGTTGATCGTTTTGGTTTTAACATAATTGTAAATAGAAAAGGTTTTTTCATTATTTGATAGTTGAGAGGTTTATTCTTTATCCATATATACTTGAAGAGTTTCTCGTTAAAATTATTTGGGATTTTGCATAATACATGTCATTTTTACAACTTAAAACACATAGTTTAATATAACGTTGAATGTTAAGATTTTAACACTATTTTAACACACTTATAGTTGAGGGGGTTTTACTTAAATTTATAATTGAAGGGTGAGAGGGTTTGTTAGTACCTTTCGAATACCTAACGCCTACAACAAACTATTTGAATTATACACCAGCTTAGAACATTAATGTCGGAAACAAGCAGAAGAAACATTTCATGTGTCTATACAAAACATATACACATTCATGTCTTCCACAAATGTTTAAATACTCAATTATTGAGCTCTAAACCCCACAAATACTAACTTTTAAGAATATAAAACGATAACAAAATGTCAGCCTTGGGTAAAATATTCAGTAGTTAGATGGATATAGTGACAGGTAACTTCAAACCACTACATTGATTAGTAACTTGATTATCATGCATTAAACCGAATTAAAATATACAAATGTCTCCACCGACATTTTTATATCGAATAGTCACTTGTTATTCCTTGCTTTAGCAATGAGTTGTCAAATCTAGTCTAATCCTACAATCCTACTCATATGAAAGCAAATTGTAGGAAGAAAGAAAGAAATATGGTATATAAAAATTAGAAAAGGGTTATAGAAAGGTAGGTAATGTTGACAAAGAAAGTGAAATTACGATTTTCTTCTATACAAATTGTTGTTTCCATGTGAGATGATTGTGAGAAGTGAGCTGGACATTGTATAAATTGGGAATATATAATACACCCACCCAATACGCATATATTATGCTAACTTGGGTGGACCATTATAAATTGGATTAAATAAATCAAAAGGTAACCTTTTATTTTGTTATTTCTTGAAAAAGATTGATTAAAATTAGGAGGCAAAAGGAGCTCTATGAGGAATGCCTTTTCGTCGCCTAGAATTAGAAGAAGTATGAGTTGGAGGATGCGTGCCTTTGTGCGTTTCTTGTTGTCTTTCTTTACGCAATCTCTCTTCTTCCTCTTTCTTATTCTTCCTCATTTCTTCAACCTGACATTTTTATTATCACATCTTACTTTTTTCCTTATTCAAAATGTAACATATTGTACGTAAACAGTATATACATTTCTTAAGATATGCTTGAAATCCCAACATAACCTATTCAATGTACCATACAAGTAATCAAACGTTGTATCGTATCTCCTAAAATAGAGTTCTCATTCTTGACTCGAAAAAAAAATTCCAAAACAATAGTAATAATGATCAAAATATCCATTTAGATGAAAAGTGTAGGTAAACATACCTTGCAACCCAAGGAACAGAAGCGAAAAGGATCAAGAAGGGTTCTGCAACAAGTCTCACAGAAATAAGAAATGGTTTTTGGGGAGGAAGACGTGGCGCCATGAGAGGGATTCTTAGGTTGAGGTCTCTCGTTTAAGAAGAGAACCCTCGCACTATTGATTACATAAGTTTGCACTCCTCTTATGTCCAATACATTCTCTATCTCCGACACTCTCACCACATCATGATACGACGATCTTCTAATCTGTAGATTCCATTGTAAGCTCAATGATATAAAATAAGAGTGATATATGTATGCAATGTGGTGAACCTGAAGGACGGTATGGTCAATGTGGAAGGATGAGCGGCAGTAGAAGCAAAACGCAGCGTTTTGACAAGAAAGACAGAACATGTTGCACTCATTTCGCGGTGTCTCGCGGTGTCGAGGGCATATGTTGAAGAAGTTTGTTCTTAGGAGACATTCCAACCATTTTGGCTCCTCCATATATGTCTTCTGTTTTTATAAGAGAAATCATTAGAAAAATATATTAAAAAATGGAAAGATCGGGGAAAATTTTATGAAACAATGTAATAATCTTGCCATTTGCATTACCTTTATGGTGATGATCAGTAGAGAGAGGGAGAGGGAGAGGGAGAGGGAGGGAGAGAGAGGGAGCACGATAAATCAGATTTTAAGGGTAAGAGAGAAAATAAGATATCATTTTTATTTTATTGTTGGGAAATGAAGATTTTATTATATTTTTTCTTCTTATTTATGAGTGCATCTTTTGATTATTTATTTTAAATTTAAAAGGAATAGTTATTGGGAAGCAGAGGGAAAGTACACTATAGTCTATAGAGATGATGTTAGGTTAAGGTTGATTTCAAACCGTTGGATTGGGACAATGTGAAATGAGTTTGATAACATGCGTCTAAATATTCCTTTCTTTTTACATTTGATATGTGTATACATTAAGTACAAAAAAAGATCAAGATGTGTCCCAAGTTGGAGTTTTACAAAAGAAAAAGTAAAGCGACATTACTAAATTTTACTAGAAAAATTAATATCATTAAACTTACAAAAAAATCTTATTAAAAATCTCTAAAGAACTAATTCTCTAAAGAACTAATTAAATACATTAATGTTATGTTTTGCATTATCTCAGAAACGTACACCAAATTACATTTAAATATATTTATTTACTTTTATCTGATATAACTAAATGAGTTAAGCCCATATATATGGATGATCCGTACTTATGTATAGATAAGATTTTCTCTATAGATATATTTAGTTGTAATAATTAAGTGTTGATTAGTTTTATTATATATTTTGCAAATATTATGTTTGTATACAGATGAAATTTTAGTGTTAAACAACAATTAAACAAATATTTCATATTATTTTGTGTCTGTTGAAATTGATTTATTTTAAAATATTTTTTTACTGTTTATAATGACATATAATTATAAATATAAAATTTATATGAAATAATAACTAAATCCTAACAATATCTTTCTGAATTATCTATACTATGTTTTATTTTCCTTTTACATAATATAATATTACCAATACATATATATTTGAAGTATATATTTTTTTGGCCTATTGCAAATTAAACCAAAATAGGTTTTACCATATTTACTAATATAAAGATTTTTAAAAAAATATAAGTTGTCTAATAATTGAAATTAAAATTGGACTGTAACCGAGATTAACAAAATGCATGCACGACAAGTTTGCATGCGACTTCGACTTTTGCATAATTAATTTTCATATCCACATGTATATTTATGGAAAAATCAGAGTATGGTTTTTATGTGTTAAAAATAACAAAATATCTGTTTTGTAATATATATATTTTTATAATGTATGGTTGACTTTTAGAAAAAATAAATATATATATTTGTGCATGCATATACAAGTTATAAATAAGTGAATTGTAATACTTAGGTGTTAGTTGGTTTCTTCAATACTTTACGCAAACATTATGTTTTTTACACAGTCCAGTGTTTGGGGTTTAACAATAATCATAAATATATTTTTATAATATTATAGTTAATCAAAATTTCTTATTTTTTAGTGTTTTCGATGATAGACGGTTTCAAATTAAAAGTTCTATTAAATATTAACAAAAATTATAAAGAACTTTTTACAAAATCAAAAATATAATATTTTACTATATACCATGGAAATAAATATAGTACATTGGATAATATAATATTAAATTTACTTCTTAATAAAATTATAATAAATATTTTTTATAAAAATTTATGAAATCATATTTTATAAAATTCTCCGGCAGCTCTCCTCTATCTCTTCATTCATTATTGAGGAATTAGTTTGATTAAAAAATATTTTTTTATAGTTGGCCAACACGCGTGTGTTTACTATAAAATTTGACATTCACATGATTGTCTCAAAATTTTTAAATGTCTCAGTAAAACAAAGCATGAGAAGTTTACAAAAAACCAAAACTGTAGAGAATTATTTTTTTATTTTTTTACTTCAACTTTTTATTAATATTTGTTTTATCTTATTATAAGTTATTTATTGATCCAGTTATTTTTTTCGATCTGAAATCATCGATCTACAATGAGAATGTATTCACATATATATTAATATGATATAAATTTTTGTTTTTTATTTAAAATGGATAAGAGGCAAGTTTTGATGGTAACAGAAGCTACGTAAATATCTAAAAAGAACAATATAAAAGGTGTTTTAAAAAATCATATACAATTATATGGTCCTATTAATATCATAAAAGAGTAATTAATATATACTTTATTTATTTACCATAGTAAGTAATGGTTTGAAAATAAATTATTTTAAATTATGTTATTTTTTTAACTTTCCATAAAAGTTAATTATTCTTTTATTTTTTTAATTTATTTTAGCGTAGTTTTATTTTATTCTAAATTATACTGCTTAATAATGTTTTTTTTTGAAAACTTGTTTAGATATTATTATTAGAAATTTTCATAAGTTAATAAATTTCCAAAATAATAATATATCATCCCTTTACTTTATTATATATATAGTATTTACCATCCTATTGGATAATATATTATCATTTTTATATGAAATTATTTGTTAAAAAATTTTGTAATTATATTTTATGAAAACTATTATGAATATATGTAAACAATTTGAAGTCATAGTAATTATCATTTTTGTTAATTTAAATCTATTAACTTTTGTGTTATAATTTAATATATTTATGTTATAATTTTATAATTTATTTAATTTTAACTCAGCTAATCAAAATATTTTATTTATTTTTTAAAAAATGTCATATCACATACCTATGTCATATTTAAAATATACTAACTTTTGTTCTAATTAGGTGATTATCCGCATAAATACGCGGGTTTCGTCATATAGCTTTTTTTTAATTATACATCTGCATTTTTTTGGTGTTTGGAACTCACTAAAATGATATAAAAGTCAACAATTTGTGTTTTTGCTACAATTAGTTGAAACCTCTGTTCAGAAATTTTCTATTCGTTAATCGAGCACTTAGTTTAAGCCTAGTGGTTTTTTTAAAAATCGTAAATAAATTTGGGAGTACTGGAGAGTAATTTTTTATATAATTTAAAGTTTTTAAATATTTTTATGAATAGAAACAATTAAATTAAAAGTTTATATATAATTTTATTTATTAATTAATCATCTTGAGGATTGAGAATTGAGATTATTAAAAAAGAAAACAGAGTTAACTTAGAGATATTCAAATGTAAAAAGATTCTGAAAAATAAGTTTTGAAATAAGTTTTATGAAAGAAATGTTTTATTGGATCTGTTTTTGGCAGAGATCGTAAAGATGAGAAGGAAAAGAAGTCTTAATCTGTAGAGAGAGATAAGACGATTCCAATGATCTTGCTGCTATCATCCTTCACCATTGAATCCTTAGAACAATTTGCTGTACGTCCCACACCAACTTCACCTTCCTGCATACTTTACAAAATACAATCATAACATAAATTCATGTGCTACTTTTTATTATATATTGTATATCGATCAACATTTAATCGAGCAATGAATTAATGATGATTGCATACTTTACAAACTACAATCATAACATAATTTCAGGTGCTACTTTTTATTATATACTATATATCGATCAATATTTAATCGAGCAATGAATTAAGGGTGAAGCAATCACGAAACATAGAAGGCAATATTAATTCAACAAAAAAACAAAACATTGAGGGCAGTCCAATCAAATTCACCCAAACTCAACACACTCATGAGCCTCGCAATCATTAAGCTAGGTTTCGATTTACCAGAAACACATCAAGAACAACAACAAATGAAAGGCAACTACAGATACCAAAATTGATACTGCTAAAAATTGAGGCATAAAGAAAGGAGAGATTGAGAATTTTTACCCAAACTAAGAATCGCCAGCACCCGGTTAAAGAATTGTCAGCACCCGGCGTCGGAGACTGTAGATCCACCGACTTTGCAAAATTGCAAACCATGATTTCACTTCTACTATTAGTTTCCAGATTTCTCAATTTTTTTTCCATGGCAAGGCTTCTCCTCATATTCTCTATTTCTCCTCGTGTACCTCCTTCATCCAGCTTCCAAACAATAACAAAGAGGTTCACATGAAAATTTTAGAAGTACAGATCGATTGAAGCAAAACCATTCTGATCCGAAGGAAAATAAAAAGGAGAATGAAAAAGGATCAAACCTCGCCGGCAGTATCTATGGTGGCCTCGCGGGATGATGCGAGTGAATAGAGGAGCATCGTAGCTCTAGCACAGCGGATTGCAGGTCGCTCTGTGAATCGATTCGTCTCTCTTGGCACTAGACAAGGTTGAAGTCTAGCTGCTGCAAGACGCCAGAGCAAAAAGTTGTGGTCTTCCCGGTACCGGACTGAGCCTGTTGGATCACATCAAGACCTTTGCAAAAGGGAACGTTCCTCTTTGCTGAATAGCAGAAGGCTTCTCAAAACCTATGTAGTACAGACACTGAAGCAAACATGAGGCGAGGTTTCAAAGAGAGCGAGAGAGAGAGACATATTATCACAAAAAGAAAGCTTTCTCAAAGTTCTTCTACGCGTACCACAAGCATAGCTCAGACCCACCAAAAAGATCCACGGTGTTCACTGACTCGCCGGATACAACCATCTGATTATCACCTTTATTGATGTAGCTGTACAAACACACATACACATTCATAATGAACAATAGTTCAAGCAAAAAGGGTAAATAAGATTTACCAAAACAGTGGTGAAAGAGCAAGAAGAAATGAGAAACCTGCTGCTGTAGTCATGGAACTCTTCACACTCTGCATCTTCTTCATCACCACCATCACCGTAATGCACTTTGCAATGGCTCTTAGCTTCCATATGCTTTCTTAACAGCTTCCAAGCTGGTAAATGGATGGCTCAGTTCATTGCAGTACATAGGCTTCTGGTGTCTCTGACATTCATGAAAAAGAAGAATCGAAGCAGAGGAAGAAAGGCTCGGATTTGGAGAAAAAAGTCGGATGAAGAAAGTGGCTGAGAAGAAGAAGACCGTTGCAGGGGAAGACTCTCGGTGAGAAGGAGGGTCTTATTATTGAATAAAATTATGTATTACCGTTTACTGTTGGAACGAATGTATTTAAAAACATGACCCATTATTAGGGTTTCCTTATCTTATGAAAGATCAACAATTAATCATCCTCTATCTCTAATATTCTCTTCTCATCTAAATCTGATTTCTTCTATCCT